TTTTTTTTTTCAATATCAGGAGCTGTCCGAATTCGGTGTGGTGCCCACGTCGACGACTCTTGCTTTTACACGGCAAGCTTGGTCAAATTCTTTTCAAGACTGTCAAGAATCTACAGACAAATTCACATTGCGGTGCCAGCGGTGCCTATGGCAATGGGCCAAACTATTGCAGTGCAGCTGTCGGCGTCGGAGTGGTCAGCTGTAGGTGAGGGCATCTTGAATCACACGACCTGATAGTCCATGATAAAGCGCGATGGCTTGACAGTCGATTCAAGATGGATTAGCCACGCAACCCATCCTCTTGGAAGGAAAGATCAATTATAATAGACTCGAAGGTCCGAAAGCAAAGTTGAGGAGGCTATGAGTGATAGCAGTAGTGCTTACACTGGGCGACATGCGAAAATGCATACTTGTGAGTGGAGACAAGTCGAAAGAGGTGAAAGAGGATTTGAGGTGAAGGTGTGACCGTGAAAGCTGGCGCTCTGGCGTTGAGGACGAACGAGCTGCGGTCGATCGATGTGATTGTCTCAGCGAGCATGCTGTGCTTCATTCACGCTGACCAACACCGCTCAGACGCGTTCCTCCTCTACACGCGCGCATGTGTCGCATGCGCATGCGCGCTTATGCAATCGTTGGAGCACGCTGCGGCTGTGTGCGGGACGTGGAAAGGGTCTGGACACAGCAAAGGGCGAGGCTGAAGACCTTGCTAGTCGATCACCATCCACCTCTTCAAGCCTCGCGGGAATAGCTGGTCACCGAACGGCGACCGCCATTGATACCACTACCTCCTTGTTGACGCTTGCTGAACTCGTCAATGTCGCACTTGACGGACTTGAAGAGAGGAGCGAAAAGCTGGTCCTTGATGGCGTTGAGCACCTGGATGCCACCGGAGACCTGACCAGGAGCAACGTCGACGAGTGCTGCGAAGGCGAAGCAAGCAACGTCCTCTGGTAGGGTGGGCACGTTCACCTCGAGTGGCACAAAGCGACCGTTGTGGGTCTCGCCGAGAGGTTGAGGCTTGAAGAGAAGCAAAGATGCCACGTCACCAAGCAAGTCGACGAGCGAGTAGGCGTTGGGAATTCTGAACCAGTTTTCGGGGAACTTCTCTTCAAGGAAGAATGGGGCCACGTTCGCGTAATCTTCGTTGAGACAGCGAAAAGCAATGTCAGTGCCTCAAGACGACTCAAAGGCAGGGCGGTAAGGCGACTGCGACTCACCAGGAGTGTTTGGGGCTGTACCGTTGGGCAGAGGACGAGCGGTCAAAGCACGAGTAGCATAGTTCACAAAAAAGTTTGGGCCGTTGGTGTACTGCAGGGGAGAAAGACGTACTCAGAAGAGCTTTGCTGACAGTCGCGCTTCGCTACTCACCGTTGGGTTGGTGTTGCGGCTTGCCTCGATCTGGGTGGCAGCATTACGCTTGAAGGCCTCAATGTTGAACAAACCTCCACCGTACTTCTTGGTGTCATCCACCAGAGCGTCCCACTTGGTCTGGTTGAAGGAGTGGTTGTCACCGAATCCAGCATCGCTACGGCTGATGGAACCATCTAGCTCGAACAGACCGTGCCTGTTGATGCCCAGCGCAGGGCCAAGGGTGTTGGGAACGCGGGGGTCCTGACCACCAAGAGAGTACTTGCCGGTGATGATGTCACCACCCGCCAGCAGACCCAGCGCAGATAAGCCGACGGCGAGGTCAAAGGAGATCGAGTAAGCCTCTTGGATGGCATTGGCCGCCTCAGCAAAAGTGGTGATGCCAGATCGATCAATGTATCTGCAGGGTGGTCAACGTTTTAGCCATCGAGCGATCAGGCCAAGGCGGTGCAGGGTGTCACGTGACATGTGCGCGGTGCGCTTCCAACTCCTGACTCCATCCCCACGGCGCTTGTAAAACATTTACACCCTCTGCTGTAGCTCGTCACTCCTCCCCTCTTCACTGGCCAGCCAGCAAGTCCTCACCCATGGTTTGCTCTGGCGGCACAGCAGTGGTTTGAAGGGTATCAGCAAAGGCGAACGATTTCGAGAGGATTGCGAATTCGTCAACAACTCACAACGTCTGTAGGCACCCAAGACGAAGAAGGAAGCGATGGTCAGCTTTTATCGTCAAAAGCGTCACAAACAAAAACCGAAAATTTACGTTCAAAGTGGGACAGGTTCCGCGTGTCTCGGTAGAATCAGGAGCTTTGTACTGGTGGTCCGGATCGTTTCCAGGAATGGCTTTAAGTCCGGTTTCATAAGGAGCAGGAATGTCGAGGTGAGCAAGGAGACCCTGAAGAGGTTTCAGAAGGCCTCCGATAAGACCGCGCTCTTCGAAGTGGCGCTTCTGCGCTTTGGGGGTGAGGACCCTGGCATCGATGTCGACGTCCTCATCGCGCTCGTTGAGACGTTCAAGGATGTGACGACGCTGCATCTCGAGGTGCTCAGGAAGGGAGTCGGAGCGCGGAGTCAGGCCGCCCAGTCCAAGCGGCGAAAGGATGCCGCTCAAGGGGTCAAGAAGGGGAGGCTGATCATTGTGAGAGCCTGGAGGAGCTTGGGCACGCTCAACGGGCGCTTCGCCACGTTTGTCGGCGCTGAGGTCGCCAAGACCGAGCCCAGCGTGGTATCGCGCAGCGATGTCAGCGGGGACATTGCCGCGACGCGTGAGCTCGGCCATAGGGCAGGCGGCCATGGCGGCTGAGACGAAGCCTACAAGCGGCAAGAGACGGAGAATTTGAACCATGATGGATGGAGAAGGTATGGTGTTGCAGGGAAGGGGGTGGGAAAGGATGTGGAAAGGAAAGGTGAGATGATGAAAGTGGCCTCCAACCTTAGTCGCGAACGGGGGCCCTTTTATACATTCGGCAGTAGTTCACAAAGGCTTTGGCAGTCACCCAGACAATCCACGCCGCAAGTCGACAACACCAAGCCAGCTCTCACAACCGTCAGGACCAAGTCCACGCTCGCGATTCCCAGTTCTTGCCATCGCGTCGTCCCTCTGTGCAGACTCTCCTGCAATGCCCTCTGAGCTGAGCAAATTCCACCTCGCCAAAGGCGCAAAGAACACGAACGGCCAAAATTCAGCAGAGGCACACCATTCTTCCGTGGCGATCGAGACGCTCAGCGAGGCCGACCTAGAGGTCGCAACAAGACGCGCACAAGACGATTAGCCAGGTGTTCTTGGTAATGCTATCACGGACAGCCGATGCCAAAGCGACGGTCGTGGTTGGGTGGACGTCATGATGTTGGGCCCGCTCAGGGTCCACAAAGCACGGGCATGTATCTAGCAGGAGGCTAGCGTGCCAGCGTAGCCTTGATTAGAATGCTCGATCGTCCGAGTGCGTTCACACTTTCGGCAAGGAAGCTGGCATGGCATCACAGCACGCTTTACATACAGTACTCGCCCACACACGCTACAAAATCTTGTCGGTGCAGGTCGACATCATCTGCTCGGCCCAACTTTGTCGAAAGTAAAGACCAGTGATGCTCACTATGGAGCCTGAGAGTTGTTGCCGCTGCAAGCTGCTCGCACAGCTGGACATGGACCTCCACAGCTGTCCAGCACAAAGCTTGTCCAGATTGGAAGCTCACATCGGTCGACGACCCTCCAAGAACGCAGGCTGTGGTTCGAGCGTAGCCACTGTGGGCCTTGGAAGTCACCTGAGCTTGTGCGCACCTTTGCTCACTGAGCATTTGTTGCCAATATCGCGTTCGAGTCGCGATGACTGCTTGGCCACATCGGAAGCACACACTCCGACCTATCACGTCGCGGACGCATCGCCGTCTGTGCCGCTGCATCAAAGTCCGATACAGAGCTGCGCATTTCGAGCCGTCGGCAATGATTGATCGTGGTCATTTATTCTCCGTCAGTCGCAGTAGTCGCCGGGATCGGCGCTGAGGCAGGGCGGCAGGGTCTTGCGCCTCGTCGTACAGTAAGTGCACAGTCAGGCGGCCATCATCGCACCTGCTCTCGATTTAGCAGATTGTGCCTGATTTGCACCGAAAGCCAGTCATGATGTCGCCATTGCGCAAGCGGGATGCTCCAATCAGAGCTTGTGGAGAAGCTCCAATCAGACTTTGCCATCGAACGTTCTGTCATTTGGTGCGCGGTGCGTGGGATTAAAACTCGTCAGCTTGACGGCAAATTGCGTGCGCACTAAAAGAGCTCTTGCATGAGGAGCGGCGCACCAACCCCAGCGTCCTCTCCGCTACTGGCGCGCGTATGCGCAGAGCCAACCAGCCTTCGCATTTGCGCGTTTCGTCAACGTTGCTACCACCAGTACGCCAAGTCGTAGTTGGGGCCAGCAGAGTTCGCTGCTACTGTCACAACGGACATCGCTGCCAGAAATACACCGACAGGTCGTTCAGATCGCAGGACACCGAAAGCGGGGTCAATCTTCACGACAGGTGACATATCAGCAGGCTGTCCTTGCTTTCGCATTCGACCCTCCACATCCAGCCGAACTAGCTATTCTTAGTCTATCTCACGCATCGCCGATTGCGACGGTATGAGTGCATGGCGTGGTCGTGCAAAATCATGAGATTCTGGTTGCCCATTCCCTCAATCCCATCTAACCGACCCAAGTCCTTGCGCTTTGGAACATTTGCAGCCAGGGACCCCGGCCTTTCCACGCTTCGCTTGCGCCTGCGGGTTTCCACGACATGCTTTCGGCAGAGATGCCACGTTCGGGGTCTATGAGGGCAGATGACGACAGGTTGTGAGCGCACGACGCGATTTGGTCTATTCACACGTCGAGACTCACGGGGCATCAGGGCAAGAATGCGGCCGTCGGGAGTCGATACTGCAGTGATTCCGTTGGGGGATCCGTTGGGATTGATTGGATATCTCGTGGTTCCCTGGCCTTTGGGTGCGCCGTGCTCCACGTATCGCACTCCGACAAGCCCGCTCGACTCGACGGCGTCTTGGTCTGCTCGATCCTTGAACGATGCTCGGCCTTCGCCGTGAGCGATGACGGCAGGCAACCGGCTGCCTACCATGTCGCGCAGAAAGACGCTCTTGGATGTTACAGGACCCTCGTCGACTTCCACCATGCACAAACGCCCTTCGAAACGGGCAGACTCGTTCACCTTGAACGTGGGCCACTGTTCTGCGCCTGGTATCAGACCAGCCTGTCCGAGCTGACTGAACAGTTGGCATCCGTTGCAGACGCCCAGTGCAAATGTATCGTTGCGAGTAAAGAACGCGCTGAGCTCAGTGCGAGCTTTGGGATTCAGCAAGCAAGACTTTGCCCACCCGCTGCCTGCGCCGAGCACGTCTCCGAACGAGAAACCTCCGCACGCTGCCAGACCCACAAAGTCGCCTAGTGTCACGCGACCCGTGATCAGGTCAGACATGTGCACATCGATGGCACAGAAACCGGCCGCTGTAAATGCATACGCCATCTCGAGCTGGCCATTGACTCCTTGTTCGCGCAGGATTGCGACCTTGGGTCGGCTGTCGAGGGGCGCTTCGGGAGTTGGGAGGGTTTCAAGAGCGAATTCTGCTCCAGGTTGGAATGTGAGTTGGAATGAAATTGTGTTCAGTCCGTGGCTCTGCGGACCAATCAAAGCCCATTCGGAAGATGCCGTCTCTGGATTATCGCGAAGTGCTTGCATGCGCCAAGATGTCTCTGACCAGGCTCTTTGCAAGTCGTGTCGCGTACCGGAGAAGACGGGACGCGATTCAGCGGTAAAGTGGATCTGCTGCTCATCGGTTGATGGCACCATCTGACCGATAACATGCAAAGCTTCTGCTGGCACTCCCGCGCTGGACAAGACAGCAGAGACGGCCTTGACGTCCCGAGCACGGACCTGCATGACAGCACCAAGCTCTTCGTTGAACAACGCAGCTACTGGATCCTTGCCACCGCCTGGAATGGTGTCCAGGTTGACGTTGACGCCGACATGCCCAGCAAACGCCATCTCTAGAATGGTCGCTGCAAGACCGCCATCGCTGCGGTCGTGATAGGCCATGATCAGCGAATGATCGGTGCGCCCTTGCACCTCGAGAGCCTTCAATGTTGCGCAAGCTTCAAAGAAGCCCTTCAAAACATCTGCGCTCTCCACATCGGGCGCCTCTCTGCCGAGTTGTTCAAACGTTTGTGCCAATGCGCTGCCGCCCATGCGAGCCTTGCCACCTGCAAGATCGACGAAGAGTAGCACCGTCTCTTCATCGACATCTGCTCTGAGCTGAGGAGTCCATGTGCGGTCGATGCGGTCCACGGGCGCAAACGCGGTGATGACCAAGCTGAGAGGAGCTGTGACCTCGCGTTGTGCGCCCTGCTCTTGCCAGCCCATCTTCATGGACATCGAGTCCTTCCCGACGGGAATGGACAAGCCGAGCTTTGGACACAGGTCCAATCCGATCGCCTGCACAGCGTCGTACAAGCGAGCGCCTTCATCTCCGTGACTTGCTGCGCACATCCAATTGGCGCTCAACTTGACTCGCTTAAGGTTCGGCACACTGGCCGCTGCCAGATTGGTCAACGCCTCGCCGACTGCCATGCGAGCTGATGCGGCAGCATCAAGAAGAGCAAGAGGCGTTCGCTCTCCAGAGGCCATCGCCTCGCCAGCCAACGCGTCATCGAATCCATATGCAGTGCGAGTCACCGCTACGTCTGCCACTGGCACTTGCCACGGGCCGACCATCTGGTCTCGAGCTACGAGACCGGTGATGGACCGATCGCCGATGGTGATGAGGAAGGATTTGGAGCCGACGGTTGGCAGACGAAGGACTCTGTCGAACGCCTCAGTGACCGCTGCCGAAATGTCTGTAGCAGAACCAAGGTAAGTTTTGAGCGTCGTGTCGAAGGGATACCGAGGTGGACTGCTATGCTTGCTCTGCCTAGCAATCTTCGGGGGTTTGCCAAATAGCGTCGCCATTGGAAGGTCAATCGGAGTGGAGTTCAACAAGCTGTCTGTGACGACGAGTCTCAATTCCTCTGTAGCTACTCCCACCACCGAGTAAGGGCAGCGTTCTCGTTTAGCTACACTCTCGAACCTGGTCAGCTCGGATTGCGACACGGCCAAGACGTATCGTTCTTGGCTCTCGTTGCACCAGATTTCCATGGGACTCATGCCCGGGTCGTCGATGAGAACCTTGCGAATCTCGAAGCGGCCGCCGCAGCCAGAGTCGTGAACTAGCTCTGGCAAAGCATTCGAGAGACCTCCGGCACCGACATCGTGAATGCTAACGATCGGATTTGGAGCGTCGAGCGAGGCCGTGCAGGCATCGATTACGCTCTGACATCTCCTTTGCATTTCTGGGTTTTCTCTCTGCACGCTTGCAAAGTCCAAAGCTGCGCGACTGGCGCTAGAAGCCATCGAGGAAGCTGCACCTCCACCAAGACCAATGAGCATGCCAGGTCCTCCTAGCACGATGATGGCGCTGCCAGGCGTGATCGCCTGCTTTATGGCGTGGCCGGGCCTGACGTTGCCCATGCCTCCCGCAAGCATGATGGGCTTGTGATAACCACGTATCTCGGTCGACCCCTCGGGACCCTCCATCTGATGTGTGGTGCACAGCATGCTGTCAGCACCTCACCTTCGAGAGAGCAAGCTGCAGCTGTACTATTCTAGCTTGCAACTCACCGGCACGCGTTGGCACCAAGTGCGCCAGAATCCACCCAGCCCCGGTCTGCCAAACTCATTGTTGAAGTTGGCGCTGCCCAATGGCGCATCCAGCATAATGTCCAAAGCGCTAGCGATGTGGCTCGGCTTGCCCACATCCTGTTCCCACGGCTGCCTCGCTTTGGGGCCGCTCTCCGGGGCAGATGGCTCGGGTAAGAGCAAGTTGGAGGTCATGAAGCCGACGAGTCCCGCCTTGGGTTTTGAACCTTGTCCCACTGCACCCTCATCGCGAATCTCACCGCCTGATCCAGTCGCTGCTCCAGGATAGGGACTGATGGCAGTGGGATGGTTGTGGGTCTCGACTTTGATGAGAATCGGCATTGCCTCGTAGTGAGCCTCGTAGCGCGTGATCGGAGCATCCCTGGCTCGTGCTGCAAAGTGGTTGGCGTCGCTGCCATCGAGCACAGCTGCATTGTCGCTGTATGCGCTGATGGTGTGCTCGGGGTGGAGCTTGTGCGTGTTTCGGATCATTCCGAACAGCGTGTTGGGCATGCGCTGGCCATCGATGGTCCAATCCGCGTTGAAGATCTTGTGCCTGCAGTGCTCCGAGTTGACCTGAGCAAACATGAACAGCTCCACGTCCGTCGGATCCCTGCCCAGCGCCTCTGCAGCTCCGACGTCTTTACCGCCAGACACAAAAGCCTTGACCAGATAATGGATCTCGTCCGGTGCCAGAGCCAGACCGAGCTGCTCGTTGGCTGAAGAAAGCTTTGCGACTGCCGCATCGAAGTCCTTTTCGCCCAACGACACTGTGCGCAGAGGTGCAGGATCGTCTTTGCCGAACAACGCCGTGGCATTTGGGGGCGCGGTGGAGATGGACTGAGTCATGCGGTCATGCAAGAGATCAGCGAAGGATGCGATCTGAGCCTCGTTCAGCTCGATGCCGGTGAGCACGTAGGCTTGACCACGCTCGATGCGCTCGACGTGGTCGCCCAAAGTGCACAAACGTGCAATGTCTGTCGCCTTGGAAGACCAAGGGCTGATGTTGCCTGGTCTGGGCGTGACGAAAAGCACCGTCGTCGTGGAC